AGCATCTGAGGAACACATGAACACTAATGTTATATCAGTGTTTAAATCCTTAGTGAATAAAGCTGGTCTAAGCTACGCTATGCTTCCCTGTAGCATAGCGTAGCATATAGTTCATCCTGTTAACTTGACTTTACTCAGCAGTAAACACGTGATATGATTAACTTCATCATAATACATATTGTTCATTCAGTCCCTAATTGTGCCAGACCTGCAAACCTTCGTTCATGTCTATTTAGAAGGCTTGAGTTTCATCCAGCTGCAGCTCAGCAGGCAGGTTCACAGCAATACAGGGGTTTATTTTCCATGTGGCTCACACCAAGGGATCCTTAGGAGGCCTTCTCTCTAGTCTGGCCCTATAAGTTCTGAAACCCAAGAGGAAAGTGTTGCAAAAAGTCTGTTTGCAGAAGTTTGGTTCTGAAAAGTCAGCCATCAAGACTTATCGTTGATAATTCAGGAGATCTGGGCCTTTTTGCCTGGATCTCCATGGTGGCTGGAGCTCCCAGGCAGTGTCATTGAAAAAGAGAGAAGAGAAAGAGATCTGGTGTGTTGTGTGGCATTTTGCACTGCCGGGAGGGGGTTACCATGAGGAGCAAGTTGGCTGAAAAAAAGAAGGAGGGGTTATGTACCCAGTTTAGCAACAAATATGGATAATAAGCCAGGTGTGGGTCTGGGTTTTATTCAACAATTACAGTAGTAGCCATTCAAAATTTCCCTACTTTCCTTAATGGGTCCTTGGTTGGTCTTTGGTTGGTCCATGGCTGGTCCTTGATTGGTCTTTGCCTGGTCTTTGGCTGGTCCTTGGTTGGTCCTTGGGTGGTCCTTGGTTGGTCCTTGGGTGGTCGTTGGTTGGTCCTTGACTGGTCCTTAGCTGGTCTTTTGTTGGTCCTTGGTTGCCCTTTGAATGGTCTTTGGCTGATCCTTGGTTGGTCCTTGGTTAGACTTTAGTGGGTCTTTGGGTAGTCTTTGGTTGGTCTTTGGCTGGTCTTTTGTTGGTCCTTGGTTGCCCTTTAGTTGGTCTTTGGCTGATCCTTGGTTGGCCCTTGGTTAGACTTTAGTTGGTCTTTGGGTGCTCACTGGTTGGTCCTTGTTGGTATTTGGTTGGTAATTGGCTGGTCCTTGGTTGGTCCTTGGCTGGTCCATTGTTAATCTTTGGTTGGTCTTTGGCTGGTCCTTGGTTGGTCTTTGGCTGGTCCATTGTTAGTCTTTGGTTGGTCTTTGGCTGGTCCATTGTTAGTCTTTGGTTGGTAATTGGCTGGTCCTTGGTTGGTCCTTGGCTGGTCCATTGTTAGTCTTTGGTTGGTAATTGGCTGGTCCTTGGTTGGTCCTTGGCTGGTCCATTGTTAGTCTTTGGTTGGTAATTGGCTGGTCCTTGGTTGGTCC